AAATTTAAAATTGCCTTCAAAACTAACTTGTGCTTAATGCTGATTAATGCTATGTAGCCACTGGATGGTGAGAGAAATAAATGAAAGTATTATACCACACGGTAAAAATACCACAAGTCCTGCATTCAAAAACGTACTCAGGTTAAACTGTGTAAGTGTTATAAGCAAAATTCACTTAAGGTATCTAAAGTTAAAGTACTCATTGAGCATTACAATGTTCCCTATCAGTGTTTTACTATATGTGGTGTTTTTGGGTTAATGCTACTGCTGTCTGTCGCATTTTACTGCTGTAGATGTTGAAATTTATGCTAATTTTTCTACTTTATATACTGTTGGATAGTTTAATCTACAGCACTGTATCATATACTAGGAGATCATTATAGGTTTATAATACCGTTCTGCGAGAAACACATCTATCTAAAAAATCACCTGTTAGTTTCTTTAGTATAAGCAGAAGAATTTCCTCAACTCATAGAGGAATCAGTTTATCACAAACATCCAAACCCAAATTTAGAGAGAAGCAGGTTTCACTGGTCTGCAAGAGAAAACCTGTAATCAGAAAAGTACCCAAAACCTAAAGCTGTCAGACAGACGTGTAGTGAAGTGGAAATATAAAGCAGCATAAAATGAAAATAATAAATGTACTTAGTTCCATTCCACCCCTGAAATGGATATTATATCTGCTAAATATCAGCATGTCGCCGTCGTAAACATGTGAGCATGCTGACATTTGCCTTCACATTTGCTGCAGCACTCACATGGGCGCTACATGTGTGCAAGGTACACTTGGAAAGTACATTTACATACAACACATAAATATACACCTGCTCAAAATAGATCCAGTGTTTCCTGTTTCTGAGCTTTAGACTGAATCACACATTCTTCCTCAGCAGATGGAGGTTGCCCCGTTGTCATGGCATTACAGACACCACTTCATCCATTTTATCTTAATGCTCGTCTTTTATTGTGTGATACAGTAAAACAGACAATATTGCACCACAAAAAACAAGATTTTACTTAGTGAATGCAATTCAGCAAATACTGTTAACTTACTTTTGACAAAATGTGTTTTTGTGTAAAAGCGAGTGTGTGCAGGATGGATTTTGCACACACACACTCCCAAAGTGACACAACAGATGCACGCAAGAGAAGGAGGCCAGCGGACATTCTTAGCAGCAGGCCATCATGCCTTCGTTCCATCTTTCGCTGCCTTTCCACATAAATTCCCAGCATGTCACTGGCTGCTTCCACAGGGACAGAAACACTCTGTCATTAGAGTCATCACCAGCCTGAGATATCAGATTTACGACGTGGAAAGAAACACATCGAGGTGCTGCTAAAGCTTTAGCTCATAGCTTACTCAGAGCACTTTAAGGATCCTTTGGAAACGTCCTGAGCACAATTCTCTTCAGCGTCACACCTCGTTCCTTTGTCTCGCGGCGCTGTCGTGTCCAATTTGAGTGCAGTCTTATTGGACCATGTGGGCCTAATGAGTGAGCTGATGTCACCGGTGGACTGAACAGTGATGTAATGAAACTGTGTTGAGAAACTTGGCGAGCGTAAGACACTAAATACTTCTCTTTAAGAGGGGGTGAAATGTGCTCACCATCACATGCACATCAACACAGAAAACGAGGCCACACAGATTAGTCTCTGGCTCGCTCACTGATGTTTTAGTGCAAATATCACACTTTGAAAACTTAATTTTCTTGACACAGCTTTCTAATTAGCTCGACCTGAAAAGTGGGTTAGATTTAGAAGGATTTTGTGGATGACTTTTTAAAATTTATGAGCTGCATTGCAGCTGCATGAGGTAAAGCACGTTGAATGAACAAAAGGTGGATTAGGTGAATAAGAATCACAGCTGTGCCGGGCATCTGTACAGTCCAAATTATTCTGCAGCCTGTTTCAGCCTAATTACTGAATTATTCATGTGTTTGAAAATCATCACTGCAGGCCTACCATTTTAAATTCCAGCATGTTCGAGCTGTAGAGCTAACATTTAGTCTTATATTTGTGGGAAAATCATCAGAGCCTGAATGTATATTTCGATAGCAGCTGAACTAACTGCAGGAAAACTTCTTTCACTAAATAAAGCTTATAAAATATCTTGCCTAAAGTACTGGGATGTCTGAATCGCTGCTGTGTTATGCTTTCATTCTTTCAAGCTGTAGTCTGTGAGGTTTTAAATATGTTGTGTTCCGACTAGAGTGAAGTGAAATATAAGGACTTGTTAGTGCAAAATTGAGAGAAATCCTGACTGTACGAGTTAGTTTTTAGCCTCTATTAGTGCTGCTCTGTGATTGGCAGTGTTGGTCGGTCCACCACTTCGCTCCAGATATCACGCATCAACGACTGGACACTGGATGTCACCAGAGTACCAACATTTCATTTGGAAAGGTTGTGTGCACGACAACAAAAAAAATAATCCAGCCACAAAACATTAGCTGTTGTCAACTCGATTAACATTATCCTCTCCTCACCTGTCTCTGCTTCTTTCTGCTCGTCTCCGTTCCGCTCTGTGTGTGTCTGTTTCCACTGACCTGGAAACAGACACACAAAAACCACAGCAAATCAAACACAAAAGGAGGAGAAGCAGAGGAGAGCCTGCAGTACAGACTCTCACACAGGGATGAAATGGTGCATATAAACGAGGTAAATTAAATACCTTTGCTTGGAAGTTATTCGGATTCACGTTACAGTGGCTGAACTTTTCCATTTTCCAGTGAGAGTGTGTCGCTCTCAGTCTGTTTATGATCTCGGGGAGAGTCAACAATGTCAACGGGAGGGACCTACATGCACTATTATACAATTACATGCACGCTTGAGCAGAGCTGTCTGGAAAACATAGAACAGAGAAGCTCGGATTACAGCACACACACACACACACACACACACACACACACACACACACACACACACACACACACACACAGGGAGTAGGACCATATTCTTCACTACCGACTGCTGTTAATGCCAGACTAATGTTGAAAATCTTGCATATTTATATTTCCTATTAGACTTTTTATCCAGAACTACTACAAGATCAAATTTTGCAATAACCATTGTAAAGTCTCAGTGCTTCAAAGATAGATTTTTTTCCAAGGTTTATAGTAAATGTATATGTACAGTCGTCCTCAAATGTATTCAAATCCTTCCATTAAAGAAAATGCAAAATTCACAATAGTCACTCAAATAACTAGAAACTGAGAAAAGTAATAATAAATAAAAATTTGCTAAATTATAATTTAGTGAAATAAGACATTGCTTTTGAATTGTGGTTGACAAGAATAAAATAAATAAATAAATAAAAAATTGTCCAGGACAAATTAGAGCACTTTGCTGATGAGCAGTGACCAAAATGAAAACAGCTGTCAACAGGAGCAGAAGTCTGATTGAGAGTTACAGAAAACACTTGATTGCAGTGATTGGCTCAAAGGGTTGTTCAACAAAATATGGGTCCCATCATCCCATCATTTTCTTCTTCTTCTTCTTCTTTATATGAACCACAATTCAAAAGCAATGTCATGATTTTCATTAAAATTTTTATTTATTATTACTTTTGTCAATTTCATCTGATTTCAGTAACAGCTGTTTTTTTTTCCTCCTTTAATGGGAGGCTATGAATACATTTGAGGACGACTCTAGTGTTACTACAGTAATAAACACATAAAATGAAATGAGTTGACGGATGAAATAACTGGATAATTACTGGGTGTCGCAAATTTTAATCTTCATCCTTCATCAGGTTCAAAGTTCTAGTTTGTCCATCAACTGTAATACTAATTCCTCTTAATGGTGAACGTCAACACATTTATATTTCTACATATTAGAATGCTGACGTTTAGCTAAAAGCACCGCTGAACCTCACTTTCGCAAGGCGGGGCTACAGACTCTTTCTTTTTTTTTTTCTTTCTCCACAGCCATCCGAGCGATCTGAAGCATCGTTTCCACCGCCACCACTCAACCAGCAGTCTTCACGCCCCCTTCAACCACAACCACGTCCCGGATTCCAACCTGCCGCTGGTGGCCGAAGAGCACGACGAGCACGCCGACAACAAAGGCGGGGTGTACGACCCCAAACAAGACGTGTTCGTCAGCCTGTTCGTAAGTTTAAGGTCACTTCGTTTTACACACCTCATTTGATCATCTGAGAGGCTCCTGACAGAGATCAGAGGAATAAGGGATCTGGGCGATGAAAGACTGTGATGTAGTTGAAACAGTGCAGGCAGACGGCACACTAAATATGTTTTACCAAAGCCAACGTAAGTGATTAAGTAGTTTTGACAAGAATCCACCAGCATAATTGAACTCAGCTATCTAAATGGACGGAGATAAAAGCGACGCAGAGCTGTCTTGTTCTAGTTTATGGTTTGCATTAGGTTCTAAGAATCACCAGTGAGCGCAGATTTAAGCGTGATTACGCTAAATTCCTCATGTGAGGCCCGTTGGCTCTCGCATTGTTCTTTGAAACACCACTCTATGAGGTCAGAAGTCATGTAGGTAGTTCTCGAAGTCGCAGAAACCAAGTCTCCCTGTGCCACATGTGTTGAATTATGTTCTTAGTCAGCCTGCAGGTGCTTCCAGTTAAAGCTTCTTGATATGTTAACTGTGAAAACTTAATGTTCCCCATGGCTTAAAATGTTGGCAAATTTAAAGCAGCCTATTAAAAAAATCCTCCTCAAACATAAAGAACCAGTTAAGCAGATGTGTGGTTTAAAATGAGCTGCACGGGGACATTAGAATACCATCAATACATTCCCACAGTAACTTCACATTACTGGTCCCACGCACTGTTATGTGTCACATCACGTTGGTTGGGACAATCATGTGGGTAATCTTTGTACTGTTCTTCCTCCAAGAAATCTCTCCACCCTCTGCCTCCTGAGAGCCATCCAGCTTGCGCCAGATCTATGAAACTCCTCGCCAAGATTCCCAAAGACGCTGAAGCTGTCATTGTTTTAGTTGGTAAGCTCGGGGGACAAAAGTAGATCAGTGAGAGGACTTATGTGTTTTCTTTTCTTCTCTGTTTTTATAAAGCGCTGGGGGCTTAATCTGCTCATTGTAAATTCTCCATCAGGCAGGCCCTCAGTGGAAAATGATTCAATTACACGAGAAGAACCAACAACAGCGCCGACTTCTGTGTATTCTTTCAGCTTTTGCGTGTCAGAAATTGCAAATTACTAAACATGTTTTGCGGTTTTGTTTTTTTTTCCTGCAAGGATGTGTTGAATTTCTGGAGCAGCCAGCGATGGCCTTCGTCAGGCTGAGCGATGCCGTCCTCCTGGAGTCGGTGCTCGAGGTTCCCGTCCCCGTTCGGTTTCTTTTCGTCCTGCTTGGCCCCAGTCAGTCCAACGTTGACTATCATGAGATCGGACGGTCCTTCTCCACTCTGATGTCTGACAAGGTAGACGCTGAATGAAATGAACTGATCGCAGCATCTCTGTCATTTTAATCTTCTGATTTTAGGATTAGTCTGTGATGTCTGTCCGGGTAAGAAGTAAGTCCCTTGCCTCACTATTTAACCCTCTGAACCCCAGACAGTTTCTGGGTGCTTTTTTTAAAATACATTTTTACTCACTGTGGGCTCATTTTCACCGCAATATTAACATTGGCCAACAAAATAGCACCACCATGGCTAAAAGTAAAGATAACTCAAAAGTATTGTTTGTACAGTGTGACACAGTTGTCATAAATTTAGCAAATGACATCGACAGAAACCTAGAATCAGCATATACAACATTTTTCCAAGTGCCCGCAGGGGTTATTACCATTCACTGTAGGCTCTACATAATATTGATGTTTTCCTCCTCACATTTTAAATGTTTTTCCACAGTAATCTCCTCTCTGCTGTGTGTAAACATCACCTGCAGTTCAACCTAGTTCAGCCGAACAGCCTCTTGGATTTTCATCACATGACTGTTGCCGTAGAGTCACCAATAGCTTCTTGGTTGTATTGAGGAAGGCAGAATCTTTGGTAAATGTTTGGCAAATTTTAAGATGAGACATGTAAAATAAAGTGATTTTGATGGAAGATGTCGACGTAAAGAACTCCACATGATTAGTTTGAAGACTGTCAGAATGTTGAATACCCAGTCATTCTCTCTGTTTTTACAGTTTCTGCAATTTTTACAGATTTGATAAAGATAATGTGCCTTTCAAACCCGCCGGTGGGGTTTGTGGTTCAGACGCAGGTCTATTAAAGAGACAAACTAATATTATACAACATGGTCAGCCCATGTTTGATGTAACTCTGACAAATTAAGTCACAAAAATGAAAAATCACAGATACATGATGCTATTTATTCACTCTTCAGCTTCAGAGATAAAATTTGGACTTGATAAATTATGACATTTTGTGTACAAATATGTATATAATCTTTCATGAAAGGCTTTGAGACTCATCATTTTTACTCTTCTTGCAAAAAGGACATCCCAGAAAATTATCCTTGTGTTATGAACTGAAGTCTTAAACTAACAAAATCATGCAAATTAGCCCACTTCTTAGCTTGAACCGCCTGTAGTTGTCATTCTGGTGCTGACATTCGGTTCTGTTTTGTTGCAGAACTTCCATGAGGTGGCCTACTTTGCTGACGACAGGCAGGACCTCCTGAACGGCATCAATGAATTCCTGGACTGCAGCATCGTCATTCCTCCCTCCGACGTGGAGGGCAAAGACCTCCTGAAGACAGTGGCTGACTTCCAGAAGCAGATGCTGCGCAAGAGAAAGGAACGAGAGCTCAAGAAGCAGCACTCCACAGCTGGAATGGAGCTGGACAACAAAGGTACTCTGTCAAGTCATTGTTTTTTAGGAAAAAAAAAAAAAAAGAATGTAGTTTGTTTGAAGGAGGCACTTCTGATGAGTCCAGCAATGCACACCCAGATGTGCATCTCATTCCTTGTGCTTGGGTTCCTAAAACATAGCTGTGAAGAGTTTTTACAACCAGAAAACAGAAAGAAAATGATTTAAGTGAAGTTAGTTTTGGTCTTTCCATTGAATGTGTTAATCATATAAAACACATGCAGTGAACAGTAACTGTGAGTTACAACTTAGGTTTAGTTTGTGGTGTTCATACTGGGCCTTTAACGTTAATTGCTTTTTCATAGTTTTTTTATGTAAAGAAACCTGTGTTAACTCCCCCAGAGGTGAGTCCGGAGGAGGAGGAGGAGGGCGACCAGGAGGTGGACCCGTTGAAGCGCTCAGGGATCCCATTCGGAGGCCTGATCCACGACATCCGCCGGCGCTACCCGCACTATGTCAGCGACCTGAAAGACGCCCTGGACATGCAGTGCGTCGCCGCCGTCATCTTCATCTATTTTGCCGCGCTGTCACCAACTATTACCTTCGGAGGCCTGCTGGGTAAACTGAAACTACAAACAAGACGAAGCCAACTGTGTTCCGTGTCACGTTTATGCTGAAGGTACCTCTGTCTTTGTGACTGCTTTCACATACAGGAGAGAAAACAGAGGGCATGATGGGAGTGACTGAGCTCATCGTTTCAACTGCAACTCTTGGAGTCATCTTCTCGCTGCTTGCTGGTCAGCCGCTCCTCATCATCGGCTTCTCAGGACCCTTACTGGTGTTTGAAGAAGCCTTCTACAAGGTACCTGAACTGAACACATAGTAAATTTCACGTGCAGTAACTGGTAACTAACACGTCTTGTCGCTCAGTTCTGTCAGGCCCACGACTTCGAGTACCTGACTGGTCGAGTGTGGATCGGCTTCTGGCTCATCTTCATCGTCCTGGTGATTGTGGCAGCGGAGGGCAGTTTCCTCGTCCGCTACATCTCACCCTTCACCCAGGAGATTTTTGCTTTCCTTATTTCCCTCATCTTCATTTATGAGACTTTCTCGAAGCTCATCAAGGTAACTCGTCCACATGTCTCTGCTCACACTGAACTCTTTACACGGTTAAACACTTCATATGCTTTCTTCCCCGTTCGAGGATACCAGAATATCTTCTCAATGTCCTTTCTTCTCTTCATTTAATATAATTATTTGTACAGAGCTTATACAGTTGTTCGTAGTCTTAAGTTTCCAATGACTCCTACAGTTCTTAATTTTCTTCGTTGTATCATTGAAACACATCATGCCTGTTGGTTCTTTCATTCCTATTGTTGGTCTTCTGGAAATATGACAAACTCTGCTGGGTCATAAATATGCACACAACAAATTTAATTGATAGTTTTGGTGATGCTGAAAGCTGTGTTCATTAAGTTTTCTTAGTGGCGTCACTTCTTAACTTCTCGTGTGATTACAGTTGACTACAGCTGCTGACTCTGAGCCACTTTAAATCGGGCTTATTCTATGTAGTCATTAGACTCAGGCACAAACACTACAGTGGGTGAGTGTGAAGGGCTCAGCACAGATCTGACGAAGCAAATCAGTGACTTGAAGAAGTCAGGAAAGTCAATTGGAGCTATTTCAAAGCAGCAACAGATTCCAAAATCAACTCTTTGTAAGTACAACGGTTTTGCTTTGGTGCTTTACACAAAGTAAATGGAATAATGAAAAAGGAGGATTACCTCCAAATTCTTCAGGAAAGCCCAAAATCATCAGCCAGGAGGTTGGATCTTGGATGCAGTTGGGGTTGATAAAGAAATGGCTAAATCAAGCTAGAATTACACCAGCCCGGCCAACATCCTGACACCATCTGTCAAAACAGTGATCAAAGATACAACCAGAAGCTTGCCAGAGGATTGTGGAGAGCTACCAGAAGTGCCTAGTTGAGGTTAGAAAGGCTCAAGGACATTTAAGGGCATTTAATTAAGTATTTGCATTGCCTTATGTATATACATATACATATATTTTTTTTAACTGAGCAGATTTTGTCATATTCCCAGAAGGTCTACAATAAGAATAAACATTCAGTTAATGTAAAACATGTTGACTCTCTTCTGGTTTTCAGGTGTTTAGGGAACATCCGCTGATGGCGATGTATCCGTCTGACTCCACCCCAACTGCTGAGATGCACACTTTGGATGTCTACAACCAGCCCAACACTGCTCTTTTGTCTTTAGTGCTCATGATGGGCACTTTCTTTGTGGCATTCTTCCTCAGGAAGTTCAGAAACAGTCGTTTTTTAGGTGGCAAGGTAATCTCTTTCAAGCTTTTGCTTCCAACAGTTGATATTAAACTGCTTTTGATGAATTTAGAGGCATCCTGTCAAGAGAAGGTTAGAAACTTAACAAAGGTTTCCAATACATTTGCTTTCTCTTTAAACTTGTTTACCTCTTTGCATATTGCTGCTGCTAACTGCTGTGGAAAAGTGTAGAAATCTTCTACAGGGATGTCTGTCATGTCTTGCTCATACACGTGACATAACGCAAAAACAAAAAAAATATCCATGAAACGTTGCTCTTTAGCGCTTCTAATGGTCAAAACATTTCACAGGGAACTTTTAAATCTATTTTTTTCCCTTCGAAATGCAGTTCATTGTTTAAATTAGTATGCACAGCGACAAAGACGCTTGACCTGAGAATTTTTATTTTAGTCTTCAAATAATTAAAATATATCAGTAAGTGCACATACTGCCTGAAGCTTTCACCACAAACTCCCTTGCTGGATGTCTCAAAGCTGTCAATTAACATAGCAAAGGCAATTTGAAGAAAAATGCACACGTCAAAATGTAATTTATTGTTTTTCATAACCAAAACCTAAAGATTGTGGTTAAAACAGGTTATATCAGTAAAACTGAGGCACACAGCAGTAAATGTTTTCCTTTTCTGCTTAATCTCTAGCTCATACTGTTGAGTTCATACCACTCAACTGTCTGAATTTAATGGTGTTCAACTGAATTGTGATGTATTTTCACATTATTTACCATTTGGTTTCTCAACGTCCCCAGGCCAGAAGAATCATTGGTGACTTTGGCATCCCAATCTCAATCCTAGTTTCAGTTCTGGTGGATTACAGCATTACTGACACCTACACACAGGTAACTTCACTGCCAAGTTCCTTTTATTAAACTTCAAATAAACTGCTGCCTTTTTTCACGACTTAAACGTGAGTCTTTCTGCTTGTAGAAACTCAATGTGCCGTCAGGATTTTCCGTCACTTCCCCTGAAAAGAGAGGCTGGTTCATTAATCCCTTTGGTGACAAGCAGCCCTTCCCAACCTGGATGATGGGAGCGTCTATTGTCCCGGCCCTCCTCGTCTTCATTCTCATTTTCATGGAAACTCAAATCACTTCGTACGTAAATTATGATTGCCGCTAGCTGTAGAACACTAGTAGAATAATGCTTTCTGAATTGTATTTCTCAAAGCTAGCATTTGAGTAGTTTTCTTGTCGTCTCTCTGATCTCTCAGACTCATCGTCAGCAAGAAGGAGCGTCGTCTGGTCAAAGGCTCGGGCTTCCACCTGGACCTCCTGCTCATCGTTATCCTGGGCGCTTTCTGCCCTCTGTTCGGCCTGCCGTGGCTCACTGCAGCCACCGTGCGCTCTGTCACTCATGTCAACGCCCTCACGGTCATGAGCAAGGCCACGGCTCCCGGCGAGAAGCCCATGATCCAGGAGGTGAAAGAGCAGAGGGTGACCGGGCTTCTGGTGGCCGTGCTCGTTGGTAAGAGGAACGAAAAGGTCGCCAAACTCCAGCCCTGAACAGTTAATGTGAAATCATAGCATACCAACTGTCGTTAGGCACACGGCCTCTTCAAGCTTCAAAAAGGTGTGCAAGAGGTTCTTTAAGAGATGCTCAAAGTCTCAATAAGCCAGGTGGTGACCTTTACAAGACCAAATGAAAAGAAAAACAGACTCAGGAATGATTAACATGGCGTGTTATGTGCTTTAATATAAACAGCAAATGTTTGCACTGATGGCAACAAGCTCACTACAGAGTGTAAAGTCAAACTGTAGCCAGTAGAATCTAAATTAGTTTGGGATATTACATCGTGAGTACAAACAGTAGTAAGCGAAGATGCTCTTAGGTCACGGTGTTCTATTTGGAATTAATAAGTAACATTAAAGTAAATGTAACCTGTCTAATGTAGTTACTTTCAATTACATTTTTATTTCTAACAGTGTAGTTTAATCACAAAGTCTAATTCTTTATAAATGATGGTAGGTTACCATAACAACCAGAAATCTAACCACAATATATATATAAACAAAAAGATTTTAATGTTAGTTAAGGCAAAGCTGTGTTTGCAGCGTTTAAGGCTGAAATATTATCAGAAGCTCTCAACATGCTTCAGTTCTTTCATAACTTTGTGCTGCAGCCCGGTCACATTGTCAGTGATGAAGCCAGGATCATCAGGTGTTTCTGATCTCAACATCCTCACCCAGGTGACCCAACCAGAGCCAATCAAGCCCCGAGTCGTGACCAGGTGGTACATTAAACTTCAGCCCTCCTCCACCTGAGCCAATAGGAAGCTTTTTCAGTGGCTTTCAAAGATACTCTCATTGGGTTTTCTTCCTTGCAGCCCACAAATTCCAAAAACTGTCCTGCGAAGCTCCCGCTTACCTGTGATTGGGCCTGAGGTGCACTTTTTGAGTGTTGCTGCCTGCAGAAGTTGGCCACCAATGATACCACCTCCTCTCCCAGGGTCATTTTAAATGGAAAAAGTTCACCAGGCGTCATTCTGACATAAGCAAGAGATGACTACAACTCTTACAGAGCGTTCCTATATGACTTAAAATAAAGCTGATGCAATGTTACATCACCGACGCATAAAAACGCTATCTGATGCAATATAAAAGAAATACTCAGGTTAGTCACACGATTCCTATTGTAAGGCGTGATGCACCTTCTTTGAACTCCAGTAGTTCTACCTTTCAAAACACCTTTCAGTTTCTCATGTGGATCATTTACTGACTTTTTGTTTAGAGCGTGTTGGTTTTGCCCCTTTAAACTCGGCATCATATGCAGCCATCGCATACCTATCTCGGACTGTTTTACTGGGTTCTTATTTCAAAACAAGTAAGCTGGAAACATCAAAAAGCATTAAAAAGTCAGCGAGGGGCAGATTTCAACCAAAACAGACCAAAAACCTCAGTTCGACTAAGAACCCTGTTTTTACTTTGGCTGCTTCTGTGTGAAACTAGAGACCTGTTGATTCAACGGCGATTCAGTGCTGAGAGTTATTCTGCCGCCATTATCACTGCAAACTTGTGTTGCACAAGAGCAGAAAGCTTGACAGGTGAAGCAACACGGCAGCAACAGTGCTCAGGGAACAGTTAATTGGTTGGTGGAATGCTCCTTTTCGGGCCCATTATGTAATTACTATTACTTTCCGTAACCGCAAATGTATCTATAATTAATCAAGTAAAGCCCAAGTTCAACAAAACATGGGAGCACTTTCATTAACATTCACAACAGATAAATCTCAGCAATACACACCAGTGCACTTGGAGGAGATTAAGGGGAATCTTAACTACTGGCCAATTCCAGAATAGTTACAGTATTTTGTTTTGGGGCTGCAGGGGTTATATCGTCTTTTCTTTTCTTTCTTTTTTTTTTTTTTTTACACAACATTAATTACGGTGTTGGAATTTCCTGGCAAGCAGTTGTTATGAGAGGCAAACATGAGCTGGAAGGTACAGAGTGGCACTTCTGCAGCTCCTGCATGTCTAGACATTCATGGAGTATGACTCAGCCCCTGCTACAGCTTAAAACGATTTTACATTCTGTTTACAAATTGTCTTCGAAATGAACCGAAGCCGTCGCTTTTCCAAATGAAAACTCGTTTCAACTCAAAATACATTTTCGGACATTGCAAAATCTTTTTTTTTTTAATCCACTTACTGGTGCTATTTGCCAGCTGAATGTCTTGTTTCCATTAAGGTAGGGCTCCCATAAGCAGTCTTAAGCATAGTTTGATCCACTTTGGGTATACAACCAAAATGAGTCATCATTATGGTTGAGCTTTTGTTTGATTGAAGTACTGTTTGGATTAGGAGCGAGACTTTTTTTTTGGATTATCCCAGAGAGGACATCTGAACGGGGAATGTGTTTCAAATAAACGGCACTGACAGTGTGTTTGTTTTTAAGGGCTGCTCCCTTGTTGAATGAATAATTTTCTCCACAGTTGCAAATTATTATGCATGCGTGCAGTATTAACAATAAAACAGAAATGAAAACTTCCCCTTTAACCCCTCTTTGCCCACCAGGTATGTCCATAGTGATGGAAGATGTGCTGCGCCTCATCCCTCTGGCCGTTCTCTTTGGTATCTTCCTGTACATGGGGGTCACCTCTCTGACGGGCATCCAGCTGTATGAACGTATTACGCTCATGGTGACGCCTGCCAAGCACCACCCTGACCACATCTACGTCACCAAGGTAACACTGTTTACATGCCCCCGGTCTCTGTTATCGGCGGGAGGACGGTGAAGCCAGCAGAACTCAATCTTCATCCACTCCTAACTTTGGAGTCAATTCAGTCAGAACAGGAATAACAGAGAGGCTGGGATGTTGAAGAGACATCGCGGAACATTGCAAAATAAGGACACACTCCTGTAAAAAACATTACAAAAACACCACTAGTCTGGTTCTTAGTCTTTGGTTTTTAGCTTAGTTTCGAAAGAGTAGCCTCGTCACTCAACGCTATTATGAGAGTTGCAGAAGTTTGGACCCCAAGCTGACAGTTACCTCAACAGCTGAGGATAAACACAGCACAGTTTCTAGCTGTCTGTATTATGAAGCAGGACTTGGGGATAGCGGGGTAACTTCAGGTTTAACTCTGGGTTTTCAAGGCTGGTTCACCTTTTACCGTGATAACTTATACGAAACACTTAACCTGCTCCGGAGCAAGTTATGCTTCAAATAATAGATCAACACATATGGAAGAACCACCTACTGACCAAACAGTTCTCTTGAAATCTCTTGAAAAAAGGCAGCACCGTTCCCGGAAGATCCTGTGAAGCTCTAATGCAGTTGGAGGGTCTCTGAGGAGGGCAAGATTTTTTAGAGTTCATGTCAACCCATATCTTTCTTTGATGGGGATAGATATGAGAGATATACAGCGAGGGGAATAAATATTTGATCCCCTGCGTATGTTGTGATTTTGGCCACATAGAAAGAAAAACGAGTGGTGTATAATTTTAATAGTCGGTTTGGTTTTAGGTGTAAGAGACAGAAAATCAACAAAAAAAAATCCCGAAAAGCACATTATGTTACAGTTATAAGTTAATTTCAAGTTGATCAAGGGAATGAAGTATTTGCAGCCCTATCCTACAGGCATGAATTCTGTCTCCCATGGATTGGTTAAGAGGCGCACTTATGAGCCCATTGTGCTTCAAAAACCAGTAATCTGAACTGGTTACGTGTACATGTGTAAATGCAACCAGTCCAAAGAATCATCATCTTCAACTTCACCACCATGAGCTATCCCAAGATACAAGATTGTAGAGCTTCACGGGGCCGGAAAGGGCTACAAGACCACCAGAAAGGAACTTGGTGAGAAGGTGACAACTGTCAGTGCAATCATTCCCAAATGGAAGAAAGGCAACATTCAGTCACCCTCGGTCTGGAGCTCCACGCAAGATCTCACCTCATCCAGTATCTGTGATCATCAGAAAGATCCAGGACAATCCCAAAACTACACGGGACGAACTTGTTAATGATCTCAAGGCAGCTAAGACTACAGTCACCAAGAAAACCATTGGTAACACATTGCGTTGTGATAGATTATAATCCTGCAGCACCCAAAAGGTCCCACTGCTCAAGAGGGCACATATACAGGCCCGTCTGAAGTTTGCCAATGAGCATTTGAATGATACACAGGAGGCTTGGAAGTTTGTAATTTGGTCAGATGACACCAAAATTGATCTCTTCGGCCTCAGTCCGACTCGCTGTGTTTGGAGACAGAAGAATGCTATGACCCCAAGAACACCATCCCCACAGTCAAGCACGGAGGTGGAACCATTATGCTTTAGGGACAGGTGACTGCACAGCATCGAGGGAACAATGAATGGGGCTATGTACTGAGAAATCTTGAGCAAGAACCTCCTCCTCCCCTCAGCCAGAGCACTTAAAATGGGTGGTGGGTGGGTCTTCCAGCAAGATAATGACCGATAATGAAAGCATACGGCCAAGGAAGCAAAGGAGTGGCTGACGAACAAGCACCTTAAGGTCATGGAGTGACCTCACCAGTCTTCAGACCATAATCCTATAGAAAATCTATATAGGGAGCTGAAGCTTTGTGTTTCTAAGCAACAGCCTCGGAACCTTAAGGAGTGGTTGAAAATACCTCCTGAGATGTGTGCAAACCTGGTGACCAACTAGAAGAAACATCCGCCTTTACCAACAAGGGTTACTCCACCAAGTACTAAGTCATATTTTGCTGGACGATCAAATACTTATTTCCCGTAATCAACTGGGAATTCATTTATATCTGTTAGATAATGTGTTTTTCTGGATTTATCTGTTGATATTCTGTCTCTTACACTTAAAATGAACCTACTATTATAATTACAGACTGCTCGATTTTTTTTGAATGTGGCCCAAATCATGAACTATGCAGGGGATCAAATGCTTATTTCCCTCGCTGCAGATTTTCAGTGGAGGGAACTACATTCTGCTTTATTATTTTTTCTGTTGACTGCCAGTAGTTTCTATCAGTCTTTGCATAGCGACGTATCCTAAAACAGGGACTGATAAAGCAATAAAGCCTTGCACTTATTGACCTTATAAGATTTGCAAGCTGAACTATGGCTTTAAATTTGTTCAGTACTTCACCTTAAAGAACATAAGGCTAAAATTGTCTTGCATGCCATAAAAATAGGCTATATCTAAGCAACGCACTAAATAGAGTACACAATTGTAGTCTAATTAAAGTCAGATCTACCAATGCCTTAATGATGACATTACACATTCACACGGTTGGCAGTTTTATTGCCAGCTGTCTTTGTGCTTTGGCAGCAGCAGCTGTGTTGCTTTTAGCCTGTACTGTTATTTTTTTTTTTGCCTCATATTGATTTAGTATCATCGTTTTTTTTTTCTTGTAACGATTATGTCATTCTCGAGCTGTCTGCCCCACCTATGTCAACACGCTCACAGCTAGATTCACAAACTCTAGGTTGACTGGACAAGTTGATAACCGACTTCATGAGACTGCTTAGCCTGACTGTGGTTGTTATGTTTAGGGGAAGCCAGATGCCAAAAACATATCCTTGGTATTTTGAACTTGCTTCACAGTGCAGGCCTCTGGTCCCGGCTGCAGTCATCACTCTGCTTTACATATGATTGTTAAAACACAATACACCTTATGCATCCTATTACAGTGACTTTCATTTAAATGTGTAGATCCCCATGTCCTGGTTTATCACTGAAGTAGCCCATACAAGTACTAACTGCTACATAACTTGGGGTTAACCTGCACACAGTCTCTCCATTAGCCAGCCCGTTATGCATTACAGAATGATCTGGTCATATTTCATTCTGCTATAGGAGAAAAAATGTTCCACCTTGCTTCTTGGCTGAATTGTTTTGGTGGAACATTTTACGGGCAGGGAGGCCGAAAAGATTAATCCACCAAAAACACTACCAGTGCTGCCGAACTGCACGATCCAAATTTTCAGGGTGGTAGGTTGCTACGACGCTGAAGGTTCTTGCTGTCGTAGCGAAGGGAATTTTGAATAGCTAAAGGGAGGGACAAATCCACCTGAGATGAGCGGCCGATGGAAAGCTTATACCTCCAGCCTGCACGTGGTCGTCAGACTACAAGACACCTGGTGTGTCCATGCTGTGGTGTCCCTCTTTGTATGGGAGCACTCCAGCCATCATAACTGTGTTTTGATAAAGCGGACCTCGCTGTCTTTCTGAAAAAAATACTGTGTTCACATTTGCTGCTAATTACGAGGATATTTCAGAAACCCAGTTATAATTAGGTGGTAGTGAGAGCCGTGATTATACAAGCGTTCAGACAGTCAACAACAGTGCATGATAAAAAGCTACTCTGTTTGGACAGTCGGGGTGCCGGAGCAGAGTGTATACAGCTTTCTCCTGATTATGTCTTGATCATAGTGACGAAAGATAAAAATGTTGCGATTGTTCTAGAGATGTTCTATCCTGTGTCACAGTATTGTTACAAAAAAATCCTGTGTGTTGTTGTGTGATAAGCATTCACACCTCACACATGGACCTGTCCATGTCTATGTCATGTCTCACCAGTATCTTTATCAATATGCCTCCACCTGCCATCCACTTAAAACAGCCTATATGTTGGTCTCTAAGACGATAAAACAAGAACCCCACAAATATATGAAACTGTTGCTCGAGAAACTGCAACCAAGATTCCTTCTGAATGTGTTGCACAGCAGATTGATCACCAACTTTGCTCTGGTGCTCAATCCATCATTCACAGCATCATTACAGAGAATAACCATAACGGTTTAAAGTGATGGTTTTAAAAAAACCAAAAGAAATTTACACTTAGTCTCATGATTTAAAAGCCAGTATGAGTATTTTTTCAGAGTTTATTCCTTCAAAGAATGACAGAAAATCTAGTCTTTCTTCCACACTTCCACTAGATGGAGCCAAAAACTTGTGAGATTTTCTTTATGGAGGCGAGCTGTCAGGGAGTGAGTGTGTTTAATGTGTCTTTACGTGCATCTTCGAGCGTCTCTGTGTGTCTGCACTGCGGCCTATGGTTTAATGCTTTTCAACCCAGTCGCCACCGCATGTGTGTTGTTTCAGGTGAAGACATGGCGCATGAACATGTTCACCATCATCCAGCTGGCGTGCATCGTGGCTCTGTGGGTAGTGAAGTCCACTGTGGCCTCCCTGGCGTTCCCCTTCGTCCTCATCATGACGGTGCCGCTGCGCCGCCTCATCCTCTCCAGGATCTTCGAGGAACGTGAGCTCCAGGCGGTAGGTTTGGTGTAGCAGCGAGATTCCAGGAATATTTGAAACCTTGCCACCGTCGTCTAATCCCACATCGCCTCAGGATACTTATTTTACAGCAAATTTAACATTAGATGGAAGTTGCCATGTTTTTATGCCTGTCTAGTACTAACATCTCTTAAAGAACAGCTACAAAACGAACTTCACCCCTGACATTCCTGATGATTTTCTGCTCTGTGATCATGGAGAGCTTTCCCATGCAAATATTTTCAAATGATAGGCAAATATTTCTTCTTGCTCTGGGTTCTAACCAGACAAAGATCCGTAGTCTTTCCAGAAGCTGGGTTTTAAGTTTTCTTGGAGAGATTCGCTAAACCCATACATGTCATCACTGTAAGATTAAAACCTTCCATTTCCAAAATGTCAACCTTTTTTTAAGAGCGAGGATAAACAGCTTTGCGCTTAACTTGACCGCTATTGGTGTTGTGTTCATCCAAAGGTCTCACGAAACTCTGGCATCGCAGGACTGCCCCCAAACCACCTTAAAATTAAGTAAAAATTCAGCATTACCAAAATCGATGTTGTTAGAGCCCTCACCCTGAACCCTTACCTTGTATGAACTAGATAATAAATGTATCTTTTCACAGTTTTTATTTCTTTGCTTTGCTCCGCTCTACCACAGATGATTGGTAGATGGAAGAAGAGCAAAGAAAGAGCGAGGGGAAAAAATCATAAATCGTGGCTTTTTAGTTCTGGTTTGTCTTGTTTTCACGCTGGCACCGTTAAGTATGATGACGTATGAACTTACAGAAAACAAATTTATAGGATAATTTTAATGATCTATAGAACTCACACAGAAGAATTCAATTCCAAGAAAATAATGTTTCACTTTGATGAGTCTTATGGGTTCATTTACTTGTTTTGAACCATTTTTAGTTGAGTTTTCTATATTTCTGCATAAGTATGGCCTGAAGTGCTTAAGGTAGATAAATACAACCCAAGTAAACAGATAAGAGAAACTGGGACGTTGATTTATTGAGAACAAATCGTCCTATGTTAATTATTATATTTATTGATATTGATTATATTAAGGTATGTGAACTTCAAAACTGAAACGAGAGCCAATCAGGTTGAGTAAGTTCCCTGTTTATTGAAAGAATCAAAGTCTGATCTTTACATTACACCTTTGTGAAAGTGTATCATGGCAGGAGCAAAGGAGAGTTTTAAAGACCTTGAGCTGTTGAGTTGTTGATGCTCAAGAGGCTGGAAAAAGTTAGAAGACATCTCTAAGGAGTTTGGAACCCAACGACATACCATCAGACAGACAGAGCAAGTCGGGTAATAGCCCGCCAGGTCGTAAAGAAACCAGGGTAACTTCTAACCAGCTAAACACCCCTCTTAATTTGGCTGCTGTTAATGTGACTGAGTCCACCATGACAAGAACACTAAGGAACGGTGTGACAGGGCTGCAAAGAGAAAGCTACTGCTCTTTTTAAAGATCATTGCTGCCTGTCTGCCGCTTGCCAAAGATCACATGTGCAACTTAGGATTAGAAAAATGTTTTGTGGATGGATGAGAACAAAGCAGAACTTTTTGGTTTAAATGAGAAGCATTATGTTTAGAGAATGGAAAATACTACATCCCATCTCTGAAGCATGGCGGTGGTAGTATCATGGTGTGGGCCTCTTTTGCTTCCTTTGCGCCAAGTACGGCTCGCCGTCGTTGATTGAACAATAAAATCTGAATTACACCTGAGAATTTGAAAGGAAAAGTCTTCACAAACTTTCAACTTCAGCTACTGTGTCGTTGCTACGATCGCAACACACACAAATGTTGAAAATGTTGCCAAATTTAATATTAGCATAAGCTAGACGTCACTTGTGTACTGTAAAGAAAGAGATCGTACCCTCGATGAAAAAGTTTTGGCAACTCTCACTCTCAAGTTTGGATGCTAAACATACCAGAAGTATGCTAACTTAGCTTAGCATAAGTGGGCTCGAAGCATTGTAGTCCAGTTGGTAGCCAGTATTAGTTAACGGGGTCAAGCTAGCTGTTGAGTCTTTTTACTAAGTTTAGTAACAGAACTGACACTAATTAAGCTGTTGAATTCATGCTAAAGTCACATCTTTGCTACCAGGAAATCCAGTCTTAGAGCAGAAACAGTCTGATAGCTTATCTCACTCCAGAGTTTAATCGACACCTCAGCTGGAATAAAAAGTTCATTTTTGCCTTTTTCACAGCTGGATTGCGATGAGGATTCTCCAAACTTCGATGAAGATGGACGAGACGAGTACAACGAGATCCACATGCTTGTATAAAGTTGTAACTGGACCGGCCAATAGGACCTCCTTCATCCTCCACCTCTGACCAATCAGAGCGAGCAAGCCTCTTTGGAAACCTCAGTGTCTCTGGGTAGCAGTGACAAAGCGAGAGGAGCTACTGTAATGGTGTTTGTAAAATATACAAAAATCTATAGCTGGATAAGCACTTCTTACCTTTGTTTATTCCAGTTTTTTTGTTTGTTTTTTTTTAAGACAGCACACCTAATGTTAGATCTTTGTGGTGGTGGTGTTGTGTTAACCTCCCTGAAGATGTTAATTCCATCAGAGACCAGAAAAATCACTCCAAACCTGAAGTGGACGATGCAAATCTAGCAAAACACAAAAACTCACATGAACACTTTTTATCCCTTTAATTACTCTGCAGGTTCTGGGCATAAGTGCAATGATGACCTCTAGGACTACAGCAGGCGGAAACATTCAGGCAAATTTTGGCACTGAATCATGAAAAAAAATGACCAATTTGCTATATTTTTTCATTAAGAAAGTAGATTTTCATCAACAATTCATAATTGTGCAGATAAAGTAAATCTCGAAGCCCTGAATGAGTTTCACTGCCTCTGTAGTTTAGCTGCCTTTTTCCTTCATACTCCTGTCCTTGCCTATAGGTTGCAATGATGTGCAAACAAGGAGTTAAGTCGTCCCTTTTTTCCTTTCTGTACAGACTTTTAGAAATGAGCACTTTGACTGGGCAAAAGTTCACTCTTGTCGCTGCCAACCGAGCTCCCTGGCACGAAGCCTTCCCTCTAAATGTAGTCTCCCCTTGAAGCCAAAATCCCTGGAGGCTGTGCAAGCCTCTTCAAGGGTTGTTACTGTACTTTGTTAGGTGTTTAATGCCCTACATACCAGTCCACTGATCCCATTATTGTGACCTTGGATGTATAAGTAAATAGCTAACACGGTCTCAACCTTATTTTTCTACTTTGTTGTATCTATTTATTTTGTGACCTGTTGGACTTAATGCCAGATTCTCAGTGGTTGTTTCTACTCCAAATAGCTTCGACTACTATAAGAGTTAGTATAAAATAAAAAGAACATTGTGTAGGTTGACACGTTCGAAAACAGAATATATGTCATTATTCACCCGTGCTTTCATCTTCTCTGCGAGATTTCCATAGCGTGGTGCATTTTTCAACAGATGTCATGAATAATATAATAACACACTTGACTGGAAAAGCATAGAAACTAAGCAAACACACAAGTAGTGAAAACGATGGGGAGCAGCGGAGTGTTGGCAGGATGTATGAATGATGCATTGTACAGAAAGACTGTGAGCTTGGAATTATAATGTACCATCTGTGTTCAGAGTTGTTTTAAAATACCAAGAGATTTCTTTTTCACTTCTTATATTGCGAGCCCACTATAGAACACTTCTCAGAAACTTTACTTCTGCCACACATCTTTCATAACGTGGAAGGACACGAGATGTAATAAGAGAGGTAATTATTTTGTAGCACGTGTCTGAAATCGATGGGATTTCGCTGAGGACTGTACGCTAGACTAACATCTTTGAGGGGTGCTCCATGAATGTTGACACATATTAGTCGAATCGAGAAGAAACAGCTTCAACTGAAACGTTCAGATGCTTGTTGGATGCTCAGTGTCTGCTCTCCAAAACACGACAAATATTATGTTTATTTCGAGGGATGAAGTAGCATAAAAGTAAGCACATTTATGTTTTGCTTTTTTGCATTTATTGGCGTCCTGCTTTTTATCACTGACTCACTTGACTCAGTTTCCTGAAAAGTCATGGATAACCGGTCTTTTGGGGTCCATAATCCATTCTACACTGTTCTTCCGGCAGGACCTCTGTGGTGCAAGAAAATCTGATGTGCTCTTTGATCACATTTAAGGATAGTATTGATGGCTCTAACCCCAACCCAATCGTCATACTCTATGAGCTAGTCAAAAACCAATTCAAAATGTCCCTATTCTAAAATAAGTAGTTCAGTATTTAGTCAACAAACATTTTCAGATTAAAGAGTGGATGGAACCGTCGGTAAAGGGAGAGACTGTGTGGCAGCTGTGGAAGTTTCTATAAATCACTACCAAATACTACATTTGAAAGGTCATGGTGAGAATTTTGGTCGGACTGCTTTCACATGAAGTCTCAGTGCTTCTGCTTTACCTCGCATTGGTTTTGTGTTGCTTCATAATTAGCACCACTGATCCATGGAGAAAGGCTGAGCTGTGTTATAGAATAATATCATGTCTTGTAACCATATAAAAGATTCTGAAACTAAAGCCAACCCAGAAGTGCCTTAAACCTGCACTCTTTCTAACAGCCACCTGGGGGCGACTTCTGTGGTTGCAAAAAAGACATCTCAAGTCTGTAAGAGAACAATCCTGTTTCTCACTTGATTTGTTACCTCAGCGAACATTTTCGGAACGAGTTTATGGTCTCAATTGCAAATGTGAAGTCTCCTTCTCTACCGCGTGATATTTATTTTATAAATCAAGTTCCCATTTAGAGTGAAATTGACAACGCTATGCTTTGTGGCTTAACATATCGGCCCACGGAGTGTCCTCGAGTTCTCAGGCAGATCCGCCCTTCACTTGTTTCACCTGGTTCCAAAAGACCAAGATGGCGACTTCCAAGCTTGAGACTAGTACCCCATGAACCAGTGACTGAATCATGGCTGCAATGTCCTTTTTTAAGCATATACTTTGTTGGGCTTTTGCCTTTATTTTAGAGCAGTAGAGATAGACAGGAAAGGGGGAAGAAGAATGGGGAGAGACCTGCAGCAAAGGGTCATGAGCAGGAGTCAAACCCATGACCGCTGCATCGGGGAACTAAAGCCCCTGTTGATGGGTCGCCCGCTCAACAAGGTGAGCTATAGGGGTCCATTTTTTATTTACAGTAAATGATTATAATCGACTGTTGCTTGTTGTGACGGGTTGGTGTTCCCTCAGCTGTGGCCGTCAGAGATTGGTGTGTACCATTGGATTTAGGTAGATAACTTCATTACTGCTGCAGATGTGGGATGACTATAGCTGTAGGAACGAGTGTGCTTTGGTTGTTACTGTTATGGCTGCAACACATTGATGTTTAATGACGATAACACTGACGACATGCAGTCATTGTGGTTCTATAACGATGGTTGGGCTGGCTGAGCATTGTATTGAAATCACTGTATTCCTGGATATCTACAGAGTTTTGATAGCAAAGAAGCACCAAAGGGTCAAACAGGACATATCCGTAGCTCCTTAGATTTAACCCAAGAAGCAGCAAGTCTGACCAAAAACCATACATCCAGCCACAGCTTCACCAATCACAGGCAAGCAAAGCGACTCGGAGAGATCAGCCTTTTAAAATGAATTAATAAGCACTAAATGCATCTGGTAAAGAGTCATCAGCCCTTCCTGTAGTATCTGCAGAACTGGCACTGGACCAACACACCAACTGTATATGGATCAGAAGGAATGTAAAGCCTACTGCGAGGTAACGCAAAAGCAGTCCTCAAATAATGTGTTTGCCGTGACCTTTCAGGGATTCCACAGAATACGCCTCGACCTCATGAAAAACATACTTGTAAGAATCAAGAGTGTACCATAATTTATGTGTACAAAACGCATCTCTTCTCACACGACCATGTCCTACATTATGAGCCATGCAACAATTCTGTCTCAGGGGAAACTGACCTTTGATCTGTAAATATTGCTTCCCGGCCTTTAGTTTGTTGTTCCTTTTGTGTACATAAAGCGGTCAAGGCAATCCAACACTTGCAATGTAAAAAAAAATATATACGACTTACGGTCCAGGCTTTTATGTTATACAATGAAGAAGGTCAAGGGAAGGGAATTAATGTGTTTACTGCAGCGAAGTGATGTAGAAGTTTAACTGTAAATGAATCTTTCGCTCCCTTGATTGTCCTCTTTAGACGTACACTCGAAGCTCTGCTTTGATGTGAAGCATACACCTGCTGCAGTCTGCGTTTAATTCTGCAGCTCCCCGAGTTAATGAGTCACAAAATGTGCTTTACATTAGCCCTGTGTAGCGGTTTCATTCAAAATGGGCTGCGTTATTAATGGACCTTTTCAACCATGTGTTTATGTTTCGGGGTTTAAAGGATGGAATGGCAAAGTAAGGGCAAAGACACTGGGATGTTCATTATACTTACCCCGCTATGTTCATGACATTATTGAATGTAAATGTTTCACAGACTGTGCTTGCAAGGGACGAGTTTTGATGTATGGAAGGCCGTTAATGACAAAACTGTTGAGTGACCGCAATTTTAGAGAACATTTGATCAGCAACCTTCCATTGTCACAAACAATTTTGAAGAAACATAAAGTGTTTCTGAAATGTTTTTCTTTTCTTCTTAGTTTTTTTTTTTTTTTTCTTTGTGGTCTGAAAAAAAGTTGACTTTAACGAATAATACCCTTTAGGTGCCCAGATTTCTCAAAAACTGCTCCTGTGTCTTCAAAGCCGTACAGTGTGTTTGGCTGTTTGTGTTCCTTTCATGTTAAGTTCAACTGGAGACAGAGCCACCTGTTAGAAATTACCTGAGCTGTCAATAGCTGGGTTTGAAGCCAACTTTTTTTAAAAGCTGTTATATATAAAAGAAAACCTCGAATTAGCCTTGTTTCCATTAACTTCTTTGGAGCAAATCGTCTGGGCCGTCATCAGAGAGTCGCGGTATATGTTACGCATGATTGTAATGAACAGCGTAGAAGAAGCCCAGTACTGGTTGTTCGCCACCTTCTAAAAAAAACACACAAAGAAGAAGAAGAAAAAAGCTAAAAATTGTCAGGAATGATTTGCAGTTGAGGAGAGTACGCTATTCAGTGTCACCGGGTTTTGGCCACAAGACAACAAAATGGAACGTGTTTATCGTTGATGTGAGTTAAACGTTCACTGTGTTAGAATTTAATCAGATAAGGTGTTTGCATCTTCCATGAAGCACATTTACTGTTTTTAAAGAAAATCCACCTCAAGCAAGGGTAAACTGAGAATGTTTTTTTCAGAATTGTGCTGTCACCGTTAACTTTTCCTCATGTGCGACATCGAAATGTGCTTTCAAAGTAATTCATGGAAACACAGCTGTTGTAATTGTAACCCTTAAAATACTACAAACAGACTTTAAAACAGGGTTTTACTCAAAATTTCACTCATATATCTGTCCAAGCGTCGTGTTTATCAGCTTGATTTAAGTATTTTATATTATTTTGTCATAGTTAGGCTTCCATACCCAACAAATTGGGTCGTCTAAATTAGACGACACCAACCGTGATTGGCTGAAAACATCCAACTGGGAACAAAGATCAAAATAATTGTTTATTTTTTAACAAAACCATTAGTAAATTAGCCTTTTAGCTCGGCTTTGATGGGTCACTTTTTAGCCAAAAGTGTTGTTCGTAAGCTTCAGCCATCAGAATGTAGTGGGGGGACGAAGTAGAGGAAAAACCTGAAGCCCTTGACCCCTACAGTGACTAGATCTGGAGGTCATTTGTCTTCTTAGAGTGAAGAGTCACTGTAGATTACTGAAAAGATGTTCTACGTGATCATCTTTATCCTATGATGGAACATTTCTATCCTCATGGTAATGGCCATGCCCCCTTCCATAGGGAACAAGGGATCCCTGAGTGGTTTGATGAACAAGATATAAATTATATACTAAGGCTTTCATCAGATCCCATCAGCCGGAGATGTTGGACTGATGTGTTAGACAGCGCCCTCCACCAGCATCATTAAAACACCAAATGAGGAACAATAGTTCCTCCAGCAGAGATCCAGAGACTTGGAGAGTCAAAGTCAAGGTGCGAAGGTGACGTTCTGGTGCCACATGGTCTTCCAACACCTTTACGCTGGTTTTTCCTTTAATTTGTCTCCCATCTGCATGTATTTGCCGTGCTGGTTGACCCGCAGTGGTAAAGGAGTCACAAGGATTTATGTCCTTTGTTGTCTGAGAACACAAGTCTGCTAGACCATTCAACACATCCACGTGCTTTTGTTATGACAAGGTTTGGTGTGTCTGAGTTCGCCAAGACAGAGCCGGTGAACATATTCTTAGCAAAACATCCTTTCAGTATTTACACAAGAGAAAAAGTGGAATTGTGGGTATTATTTGAGATAATAAAAGGTGCGGTGCTACCACTCGGTACTGTCTGGGTGTTAGATGTTGAAACGCGCAAGATGAAAAGGAAAATAGTTTTTTTGACCCTAAAAAAGTTCTGCCATGTCAATGTTCTGAGTTCACCACATTTCGTCGCCTTCTACCTCCATGGTAGCGGGGCAGACCACCCACTCAAATCTAAGACTTGGCTCTGTTATTTTTGAACCTACTCTAATTGAACATCATCGCTTTGAGTAAAGACGTCTGGCGATCTCGGAGCTTTAGCATATGGAATAATGTATTGGGTTCGACCGTTATATAACTATAAATCAGATATGTGTGAAATGTGATAAACTACTACAGGCAAGGGTTGCTCCGACTGATATTTTCTCAAGAGCAAAAAGAAATATAGCGGATGGTATCGTTTGGATTCCGTGGAAAAGCCCTTCATTTTTCTTTAATTGCACCGCATACCAAAGGATTAGTTCCTTAGCAGGTTTAGCGTCCCGATTTTGGTCTTCAGTGTCACATTTTTTGCTGATTTCCTATGTTGTAAATTCAATATTATGCTTTTCAATTTTCCTATTATTTTGTGAGTAGTTCTTTTTTTTTTATTCAACTTTAACGCAACAGCTCTTATTTGGGTATTGTGACAGGTATGTTCAGTCAGAAATTATTTTTACAACAATGCCACCGATTTCCATAAAAAAAAAACCTGAGGATGTTTTGTTAAAACTGCGTTAAGCAACTTTTCAAACCTTTAACAGAGCAACAAGTCAAGTCAAGTTAGCAGGTAATTATAAATCTATTTATACAGTACTTAATCTGGCATGCATACATACTCTTTTGAGTTTTTGGAAAGTACACTGGGCTCCCCTCACTGCCTTCTTGTCTACTGCAGCTCTGTGCCGTGCTACAGGTAGACCAGTCGATCCTCAGCAGTACGAGCATCCGTTTCACATAACAGGAAGTCACCAGTGTTGAAATTCAAAACATTGCTTAGTGGAGCTTTACAAGGTTTTGTCGATGCACAGCTCATCTTGAGGTCTGCACAACCATCTTTTTTTTTACATATACTTTACTAATCGGAATATAAATGAATGAAATGCAATATGTTTGCGTTCATACCAGACTGACATCGAGGTCGTGTGAATACTTTAAAAAAAATAGCAGGTCCGGCTTGCTATGGCTGTAAAGAGGTTTTCAAACTCCTGTAAAACATTATTTTTTTGTCTGAAATAAATATTTATTATGTGTTTCAAATACAAACAGAATCATTATTTTTGTCTATGTAACAAGAAAAGAAAAAAAGGAGGACACAAAACAAATCATACAAGCATCAGTAGTTGTGAAAGACTACTGGAATGGAGTTGGAGCGAACCAGTGCAGTAAATCATTGTTAAGGCTTTGTTTTTGTCTACTTACCATAGATGGGAGGGGCTGAACATATATGACAAAATAATGAGTTCCAGAAAGTAGAAGTCATTCACAGAACAGACAGTCAAGGATAATTTTTATGTCTACAGTATGTATGATATGCTAAAGCCGTGCTGATTTACCAAACCTCACGGTTATAGAATATATAGAACATTCTTCTGTACGTTTGAGGAGAAAAATTACTACAACAATAAATGGCTTGACAGTTTCTTGCAAAGGAATATGAGCAGGTCGTGTGGTGCACGTCTGATTCGAAGGAAAGTAAGAATTTGAATATATAGATTTTAGATTACTGGGAAAATATTGTGCAATAGTTTCTTGTAACTGATGTGCTGTCTGTGTGCATGTAAATAATATTTAAAGAGCAGTTGTGGTACTTCTCAAAATGGGTCACTGTTCTGGTTATATAATTGCTTCATACTGTATGTACAGTATTTCAACAGAGGTAAACACAGATATTACTACCAAGTCCTGCAGCAAGACTAGATGAAGAGCCAGAGTGTTGATTAAAAATTGTTGTTGATTCGCTTTGGGAGGCTGTTTAGCTGGAGTTTCAATTTCCTGAATCTCTGCACCAAAGGTAGCAACCGCGCTTTGCAAGATCCCCTGTCAGACTGGCCACTGTTACAAGCACACAGCTATTTACAGCTATTTAGGGAAGTCCGTTCAGCTCATCAGAGCCCCAGAGAACCGGGCCTCTCCGTGTTCCACGTGGTGAGGTGGACACACAGAAGGGGCAGCAAGAGCGTGGCAATGATGGAAGGTGCTATTAGCATGATGAGAGTAGAGAGCGAGGGGTCGTGGACCTGTCCACACAGCGAAAAGTACGTCCGGTGAACCTCCAAGAAGACCTCGTCCACCAGAAACCTTTGACCCTTACACCAGGACGCGTTGGCCCAGCGGTCCACGCACCACTTCAGTTCGTTGTAGATGCTGCAGAGGAAGAGAGGAAGGCAGAAGAGAAAATAAAAAATCACTCAGCAGGCCCAAGAATGTGATGGAGAACACTGTGAGGCGTTGGGAGTTCAAATGAAGCTGTAGGCTGAGAGTCAGATCCAACTGATTTACTGTGTAAAGCACATTTAAACCTACGCAGCTCTTCAAAGTCTTTTACAGTGTTTCCCGTTTACACACACCGTTGGCAGCATCAACATGCCACTGGAAGTGAAATAGGGTTCAGAGTCTTGTCCAAGAACACAGTGTAGGACAGTGAACATCATTCCTACATGTAGGTTTCAGTTGTGTTACAGGTGCACGGCAATACATGTACAGACTCGATAATCTGACCCTGAACAATCCGAAAAACTTGCTGTCTGACAGGTTTTTAGGAAAAACGAACAGAATCCATGAAAACTGGCCTTCACATACCAACAGCCTTGGATTCTGACTTAATCATAACACTTTATGTCACAAATAGGGATAACGGTGTATTATCTGACTGAACAATCTGACAGATTGGCTACATTCACACTGCAGGACTTAATGCTCAATTCAGATCTTTTTGTGAAATCCGAAGTTTTGCGAGTTCGTTCACGTTTCCAGTTAAATGCGACTTGTATGTGATCTGTTGTGTGAACTTCATACGACCCAAAAGTGTCCCGCATGTGCAGAAGAGGACACGACGACGTCACACGCAGCGAGCGTGCTCAGTGTTTACAGAAGTAAACATGGATGGTAATGGTGGAGCATATCTGCCACTCCCCCACCGCTGCCACTGATGGTGAAAACAGAAGTGTGACCGCTAACTAAACCGGCATCAGCAGCCAAGTTCTGCCTGTGCGCTCCAGCCACTTCCACCCCATCGGAGTGCTCCCCCAGGATGGGATTGGGTGGAACATGCACAATCGCACTGGTCAATTAGGTGTGAAATCCATAGTGTAGTGTTTCTTACAATACACTAGTTATTATAACAACTAAAACCAATGAATAATAACAAATGACCCTTCAAGCATTAAGACCTGCTTGTATCTTGACCTCCGTCTTGACAATCGAACAGCTTTGCTATCCGACATAAAGAAGGTTTTACATTTAGTGTCGGATTATTGAGTCACGACTGTACAATACAAATATTTCACATTCATGTAGAAGTGCAGCTCACAGCATCGTCACACAGTAGTGATGTTAAGCTGGACTACAATACAGTAAATGCACATATTGTATTGAGAAGCATGTTTCAGGTCTCTGCAACTTGACCTTCATTTAATGGAGAAGTGAATGGAAGGCTGCATCTTGAAGCATTTAAAAGTAGCCTATTGGCTTCTCATAGTGGGTTCTGTATTGAGCACCCTGGGGCGTCTTAAGAACAGGCCAAAGGTGCCACAAGACTAGTTTATTTTAGGTTGTGGGTTTTAATAGACAGTTTCAAAGATTTCTTCACTCATAGGTTTTCTAAAGCTCAGTGTGATGACTCCAGCCAGACTCCTTCTAATTCCCAGATAATCCAAAAATGAGAAAAAAGGTGGAGCCTTGGACATGGACTGTCCTGTGACAGCACCTATCTGTCACTCAAAGCAGCCATGCCCTTAAGTCTGCATATATCAAGCCTTCATACAGTTTAATTGGGCGAGTTATATAAAAAATGTACCTCTGCACTATTGTCACGTATGGCGAGATATGCTGTGGAGACCACAGCTGTTCTTGGTACTGGACTGTATATTAGTTTATTTCTGCTGTAAAAATGGGCAATTTACCTCAGAAGTCTACAGGGATTGACTCGCTCTGGAACCAGCCTCAAGTGGCCATTTGAAGAACTGCATTGACTTCGAGCTCCAGAGGTTCCCACTTGTGTTTATTACCACCAATATTCACTACATTTTTTTTAAATTTTATTTTTGTTTCCAAAAATATTCAAATTAAGCAAAAAGTCATGTTTATGTAATGTATGATGTGACATGCAACAATTAGAATATATAGTTTTAATGCTATCACAGTAGAACATGTAATTATTTATCACTAAAAACAGAGTGTTAAAGAAAATCCTGGCAGCCTTTATTATATCTCAGCGCTCAACAAAGTCAGAAGTAACTGAACCTGAACCAACCAAAAGAATGAAACAGTGAAGTCTAACAGTGTTTCCTGTGAGAAACACCATGCAGGTGCCCCGGTTCTTTAAAAAAAAGTGTGCTGAACTAAGACAATGTGATCACTAATGTTTTGTTTCTATCATTTATAATTACCTGACTTTTAAAAAGGTTGGCACTGCCTCTAAAGCTGCAACTTTAATGTTCAAAATCATTTTTTTTGAGATACTGTAGAGTGGCATCAGCCAAAACCATCCAGCCTGAGTGACTCCAAGCTTTTTACAAATGGAGAAATCAGCCGCTGATGTTTAAGAGGCAGCTTGTGTTTCATGCTTAAGTATTAAATTGTCATGTCCTCGGGATGGAGGAGTTACCGTCGCCTCAGCACACCAGCATAAATCACACAACCAGTTGTCACTGCACTATTTTAGTGTGGAAAACATCCACTGAGATTCAATTGAGCCTGACAGCTGGAAGCCTGATCAACAAGCCGGGCTCCTCGTGATGATGGACGCTCCACCCTAACACACTATTTGAGCTGTACGGGACCTCAGCCCCAAACCATGTTAACTGTAAAATATGGATTATTACAGCCATAATTAAAGTCTACTGCAGTCCACTGTAGGTAGCGTGGCAAAAAAGTCTCCACAAACAACTGCTGTCTGGAAACATGAGCCCAGGAGCAACAGTCTAGCACGTTTTCATTAAAATATGACTAATTAGCTGAAACTTTGACCAGCACCGAGTGTAGCCAGGAGACAGGAAAGTATCTGACTTTCCCATGACTAAAGGTTATATATCTTTACTGAAAAGGCAATAAAAAAGTGTGTAATGTTCCACTTATCCAGCCTTCCTGTGTTTTCACTCACTGTGAGCTCACATGCATGCCGAGGCTCAAACAGCAGCCGTTAACACACACTCATGGATGCATTAATGTTTGATTCATCACCCGCTACTCATTCAAGTCTTGTACCTCATGTGATCTACTCGTCCCCTCCAATGGACTTAATTTGCATCTATATAGACACACACAAAGGGGAAAATAATAACTGAACTTTACCGTTTTACAGTCGGCCATGGGCAGTTGTCCTGGTAACCGCTTGTCTCCATGCTCTTGTTGAAGGCTGACATGCAGTTCTCAACATTACTATCAAACTTGTTCTGGTCACAAGCTGGAACGACAAACTTCTGAGCCATCCCTAGAGAGAGTGACACTGCACAGCATAAGAGAGTTAGACCAGATTCAAGCCAAGCAAACAAGAGCATCGTTCATCTCCAGTCGATCTGCTGTCAATAACTGACACACCTTCCATCAGACACTATGTCAGTGTTTCAGGTTTATAATATGTACAGAAGTGATTAGAAAGCTGTAATCGTGTTTCACATTACAAGACCACAGACACTGTACAGCCCAGCAGAAGACCCCTAACTGATTTAATCATGTCCCCACTAAGTGGCTAAAGTGGAAAGGGAAACAATGACATGTCAAGACTGGCATCTGCAACATCTCCATCCAGATCATACATATGTTCCCCATCGCACGAATATTAGTTTGGTTTAAAAATGGTGCAAAAAAAAGGCCAATTAAAGTGTCTTGTTTTGTCCACAACCAAAGATATTTGACTTTCTGACACAGAGGAGAGAAGGAATCACAAAATAATCTCATTTAAAGATGAAATCTGCCTTTTTTTTTCTTGATTTAAACCAATTTCTTAACAACTTATTAAATAATTGTCGCAGTTCTAATCATGATTGAAATAACAAGTCAACACCGTGGCTGAGCATTTCTAACTTAAAGCTGCAGTGTTCTGATTGCAGTGAGGAGGGAGGCAGGGACTTGTGGTGTAGAGTTACAGCTAATCCTTTTTTGTTTTTAAGGCAGGAAGGAATTAATTTAATAGAACTAAAACTTAGTTACACACAGATGAGCTTTTAGGGAATAAGTGGACAACTGAATGGAGGGTTTGAGGCTTTAAATCGCAATGAAGACACTCAAATCTTTACATCTACACAAACTTATTCTCGTGATACATTTTGCTTTGTCTTGGATGATTATTATTTAAAGTCCAGTCGATTTTTTTTTATAACTTGCAGTGACTGTGTATCTGACTGTATCTAAATACCAGCTTACCTGTCCAGGTGAAGGTGAGCAGGTGGGCAGTCAACACCATCTATTTGAAAAGAACAAAAACATGGCATTAAAACAAATGAAATGCTTTTATTAATGTGTCACAGACAGTTTTTTTTCTCCCTTCTGTATCAGTCATTTCAGACCAGCTGTTACAACAAGAATGCACATTAAGCGATGGACTGATTTTACATGCATTCTCCACCATGAGAGTTTTCACTGATGGACTGGTGGCTGTGCGACGGCCAGACGAGCGTTCTGCTTCCTCTGTACAAAACCTAATTCTCCACAATGTTTGTTGTCTCAGTCCCTGATATCGGTCATGTCCAGGCTGACACTTTGTCCAGCTGGAAAATCCACTGATTTTCTCTGCTTCCTCCCTCCCAACACTTTAATGTGGAAGGCAGGGCTATAATTAAAATGCATGACGAATCACATGATCTCTGTACCCCAAGTTTGTTTGAGTAGAGGAGGTTCACAAGAGCGAGATAAAAAAAAAAAAGACCCCTGTTTCTTACTAGTAGTAGATTTGCTCGTCTTCAAATACAACAAGTTCTGTGTCTTCCAGGGATTTTTTTCCATTTTTTACGTCAAGTCCAGCCACATACTTTCAAAAAAACCCAAAACAATAAATGTGTATGAAACAGTCATGGTGTCCATCTGCTTCCTGGACATTCCCGAAAACTAATGAATTTATCTCGTGGGAGGCAGACACTGAAAACAGATGTTACCAGGGAATGCAGTGAGAGGAGTCATTTTCTTTTCTTAGCAATTTTCGCAATCTGAGCACATGTAACGTCTGTGCTGGTGTGAAACCAATATATCACCACTGATGTAAATTATCTCAAGTTAACATCCAGCTAGTTTGAAGCACTTCGCAACCATCCATCCAGCTTGCACCAACAACAGGCATCAATCATGTAAGCCACATTTAAAGTTCTAAAGCCCCAAAACAAAGATAAAACATTCTCTGAGCACATACCTCACGTCTCATGTTGCCCTCACTCGTATAGATTCCTGCTGAAGATGCTTCCAGTTGTGTACCATCCGACCATTAGATGCACAACTGGTCGAACAGAAGCGGCCGTGGTGATATGGTCCAGTTTCTTATCAGTGCAACTCGGAGCTAATTGGATTGTGCAACAGCAATGGACAGGCTGCTTCCTTTCCCAGACTGAGCCTGGCTGTTCCCATGCTGCCCAAAGGCATGTTCCACTCACAGCCCCCAAGAGACGCTTGAACTGAAAGCCTCAGTGTCAACAAGCCGGCCCCCGGTGGTATCCCATAAATACATTTAAAGTCAGTGTTTATGTTTTGTGGAGAATTTTTATTCCCATTCAGGGTCAGAGGTGTTGGGTTCCGAGGGAGGAGGAGGAGGAGTGTTGGAGATTAGCGGATGGACTATATTGCAGGGTCAGCAGATGCACAAACAGAAACATCCACAATCAGTTTCCAACTCACCTGAGCCTCACGTTTGACGACGGTGAGAGGAAACCTGCGCTTTTGATGCTTTCACTGAAGTGTGTTTAACCTGCAGTGGAGAAAACGGTTTTATTTACAGCACTTCTTAGGGACCTGTCTTGCATTTATACTCACCCTAAACCTATGAGGTGAGAAATGTTGATGCAGCTGAAGTGACACTATTAGGGACACAGGAGCATCCATAACAAC